AATTCGCAATGTTTTTCAAATGGAAAAAAAGCATGTGAACGCAAATAAAAAGAAAAGAAGGAAGAGCTTGAAAAATGTTCTCTTTATATCTCTTCAGACTTTTCGCCTGCGGTAGAACGAACATCTAACGATGAATGCCACATAGATGAAGAGGATAACGAGGAAGCTTGTCCGATACAAAAGAAAAGAACTTATTTCGATGTTTCGTTAGTTACCGATATTTTCTAATAATATAATAAAGACGGCAGGAACAAGCTCGAAAACAAAACAAAAAATATCATAATATACTATACTCTCCCATTGAATCATACTTTAACGAAAATTAACAAAAGAGAGTTAAAAATAAAAAAGTATTCTACAAAACAAACAAACAAACAAATAAAAAAGAGAAAGATATGCGTATTACCTGTGATGATCGCTTTATTTTCTATTTAATTGGATTATCGAGATAATTAAACTCCTAACAACACCTGAGATCGATCGATCATACCCCAAAGGAAATTAATAAAACATTTTTCTCATGATCATCGAAAGGATCTCTCATCTGTAACGAAATCTTCTTTTTATTAACTTTACCTCTTTCAAAGATTCTACACGTTTAACCGTAGTTTATTGTACCGCGAGAATGTATGATTAATCGACCTGATCGGTAGTATCGTTTATTTTTATATAGATTTACCTTACTGTTTACGATTTAATGACCATGCATTCAGTAAGATATCACTATGAGAAAAAAAAGTCATCTACATAGATTAATTATCGACATATGTAGAAATATATTGACGTTTGGATTTATTTGTAAAAAAAAAAGTCCAGAAATATCCCGGAGATAGGATTTTCAAATCGAAGCAATAGATCTCTCGAGACAGGTGGATCGTTCTCCTTGGCTATTCTATGCCAATGGTTCATAGATTCCCAAGCCCGTGGTTGGGTACGCGTCACTATATACACGTTCCCCATGTCAGTTTGTCCTGACTGCTGCTGCCTTCTAGTCGACGACTCGCTTATATATCCACCCTCACAAACGGAATTATTTATGTGCTTGAACACGAGCCAAAGCGCGTTCGTAAGACACTAAGACGTTTCTTGATGCTACTTGCATTCTCCCGATATCGAAATCAGAAATAGCCTCGATGTTTGCACTCCCTATATCTTTGGATTCGACCCTAATCTCTCCTCTATCATCCCCATTCAATTAAATAAAGAAACGAATGGAAAGAGGATTAAACGAAACAAAAAAAACGCGAATACATTTTTCTTACAATATTAATTATATCGTACATTATTTAAAGATATTCTTTCGTTAAAAAATAATCGAGCAGAATAAAATATTGACAATGACGTGGCGATTTTATTTCATTTTTTAATGATCCATACGCGTGTGAAATATACTTTCAACTGTCGTACAAAATCCGTTTATGTTTTCCTTTTTATTGTTTCACCTGTCACGAAAAATTATTAACTGTACGTAAAAAAAAGTTATCTTTTTTATATAAATACACAGTAGCGCAACCAAATATAATATATAAAAGATAAAAAAGTATTTCTCTTATATATTTTATATATCGTAATATCATTACTATCCACAATTAAAATATTCAAATGAAGTAAAAAAAAAAAGTTCCGATTTTCTTTTCAATTGAGATGAATCGCGTAAGCCTTAAAATAGAAATCTGTAAGAACAAAAATAGTCAAAGATGGAAAAGAAAGGAAAGTCCGATTCGTAGTTATCTTCATCGAATACTAATCAAACTCGATGTACGATCAGTATGCTTCTCGGGTTCGTTCAATCAAGAAACGTTCGATAAAAAGGTAGAATACATCATTGGTAGTGGCTCGTGCTAATAGGTCACTGCGGTTCTCTCGGCCTAACTAAAGAAAAATAAAAGTAGCGTAAGTTCCTTGTCGAGTTCCTCTCTTGGCCGTGCATCAATGTTACCGAAAAGAGAGAAGGAATCCTTTCGTTATTCGGTCAAAGGGGTAGCATCGCAATCACTCTAGTTCGATCTACCACCAGCGAGGGGCGCCACTTAATGGATCAGTAGATACGGTCTGCGTCAGGTCAGACCAGGGCGCGTTCCACTTCGAAAGGCGGATCTCTTCGTACTACTTCGGCTCCAATCGCTGCGACTCGTTTCTCCCGTTCGTTTATGCATCTATGCATGTATGTACGTATATATATATATATATATATGTATATACATACGATTCCAAGAAAAATGCTCCTCTGGGAATACCTAAGTCACTAACGCTAAGCATAGAAAAAACTTTTCTAAATGGACCCAATGATGCGCCTATTCCCGCTCTATTAACTTTCCACCGTTTAGTAAATACACATCAGGGAAATGATAATTATTGCTAACCCGTTACATTCTTTACAAATTCCTTTCAACCATCTACCCCCTGTATATTTCGATTTTTCGTGTTTTCATTTAAAACGATATTGGAGAACGTCGAAACGAGTCGTTTGATTTAACGATCGACTCGAAATGAAAGACTTTCGAGGCTTCGTTCGATTGTAATTTGCATCGAATAACGTTCGGTTAAAATTCGATAGAAGTAATAGGGAAAATATTTCGTATTTTCGTTTCTCTCTCTCTCTCTCTCTCTCTCTCTCTTTCTCTTTCTTTCTTTCTCTTTCACAATGTATGCACACATAGTTTTGGTACTATTCGAGAGAACAAAATCGGACGTAAAACACAAACCGGTAGATGCATCGAGAAAATTTATGCAGTCTGCATTCTTATGCAAGTATCTGGTCTAGTCGATCGTTTGCAACGCATATCTCTCGAAACCCGCGGAAATACATCCAACGCATTTATGTGCGATTAATTCCCAGGTACGCTTGCACTTTAACATTTAATTTCTATCAATTTAGAGTCACCGAGCTTATCTCACTCGCTCTATTTATTTACCTTGTTCCTCTTCTCCTCTTTCTCTCAGTCCTTCGTATAACATTTTACAGGAATGTGGTCAGCAAACCACGTTGTATACCTGCGTTTCAACAGACGACAACATTCGGGACGGTAACCCACGATAATATAATTAAATTCCACGAGTATATCGTGTTGATTAAAGCAACGACTTCGGGCGTGTGCAACAAAAGCAATCATACGATATAAAACAGAACAAGGTAACTGTAAAAATCGATAAACTTCTTTCGGTGAAAACTATTTTCGACATAAGAAGCGATCGGTATTCGACAAGAGTACGATCTCCTTCTGCCTCCTTTCTTTGCTACAACATTAGATTCGACAGGCATATCCTATTTCTCTTGTATAGAAAGAGAAAAAGAGAGAGAGAAAGTGATAACGATAGAAGAGAAAGAACATTTCCTCTCCTTCTTCGTCATTATTCTCCACGGAGGGATAGAATTTTTTTCCAAAGCTTTTAGTCACCATAATAGATCGCCATGCGGATAGGAAAACCGCGTCCGATATAAACGTAACCACTGTTTTATTATTAACGTTGTCAGGCTTTTTTTATTTTTTATTATGTATTCATTTTATCTCTCTTTCTCTTTCTCTCTGGTTGGTTCACTCTTCAGCGTTATAAAAATAAAATGTGTCATTCTTCGAACGAGCTATAGACCAAGCACGATCGATTTACAAAGTAAGACCGCGAACTGCTTTAGGTTTGATGCATGCGTTCCAACAGAGTGACGCGTAGCTAACGTCGGTGTAATAAACACGTTTACAAAATTATAAAATAAACAAGAAGTAATTGTAAAGGGTAAAATTCGATTTGGTCATTTATATTATATCTCAAATATTGTTACTTATTCTTTTTAATCATTTTGTTTGTTATCTCGAAGAAAAATTTTGAATATGACGTTAAATCAAGGAGCATTGTATCATCAACAAGGAGCTATTATAATATAATGACCGTACTTTCATTTTAAATAAACTTGACAAAAGTCAAACAGTCGTGGTGTGCCGGCTGTTTAAAGCCAGCCCAGTTGTGGAAATAAATCCGTGAGGTTATAAAAATACAAGATAAATGACCCCTTATTAACCGAGCAGCGGGCATAAAATAAGAGGCTCTTTGTCATTCGCCGCGTCAAAGTATGCAGACCCGTAAATAATCGACCTACTCAACAAGCGCCTTTAACGAGGTTTAATGCTCGGATTCGTACAATGTTCGCCTAGTGTCATTTTCTTACGTTTAACGTAGCGCAAATGAAAGCATTGCTTGCTTAAAACAATTATTTTTTTCAATGTCATCTAAATCGCGATCGGCAAACACGAAGACGAATGATTAATTAAGAATATCATAAAATCATCTTGTACTTAAACGTACGATAGACGAAAAGACAAATTTTTAGAAAAAAAAAAAAAAACGCAACAAGATGATCTTGTAAAGGTGAGAAAGGCTTAGAAGAGAGTGTAAAGGCTAAATTCGCGTAACCTATCGCGCATGGCGTGTATTGTATCGTTCAGATATTGCTTCCATTTTTCATACGACACGTGTTCGAATAGAAATAATCGTAGGCTATGTGGGCGGTCAAACCGCTGACCCTTTCCACCGTGTTTTTTCTTTCCAATGGTAAAGGGTATCGTCGAAGCGTAATCGATGTTCTAAAAAGAAGAAGAAGAAGAAAAAAAAAGAAAAAGGAAATGAATAAAAGGCGATGGGATTTTTTACGACATTTTAGGAGAAGGGTTTAGAAATAAAGAGAAAAAATTTCGCGTGATAACGCGAAATCATTGAAATAATTTTGTGTTCGGGAAAATTTTCTAAAATAAAATAAAAAATTGTCAATAACAGTTACATCAAGGTGAATCAAAAAAGTAAATTCGTGCGTGGTTTTCGATTAATATTTCCAAAGTAAATATTACAAAAGATGTGCAATGTGCAAAAAAAAAAAAAGAAACAAACAACACAATAAACGCACGAACTAATTTTCGGTTCACCCTTAACATATAAAGAAAAGAAGAAGAAAAAATAACAACGAAGATAAATTTAAAATTGTACGAGAGTATGTAAATGTTATAAAATAAAAGTGTAAAAATAGAAAGGAAAAAACTGGGATAGTATAGTAAATTAAATACAATAGTGCATATGCTATTATAGAGGGTAAGAGAGAGAGAAAGAGAAAGGGTGGGGGAACGTAGGTGCCACGACGACGGTGGGCGAGCGACTGGCGGTTCGCGTCTTAGCTCGTGCGATTCCGCGGACGCTCGGAAACGCCGGCGCCTCTGGGCGTCGCGACGGCGGGCGTCCAGGGCTAGCAGGCTGGCAAGCAGGCAAAGGCAGGCGTCCCTTCGCGCTCTCCCCGCCAGACGAGTTCCGACTCTACGCTCGGCCGGACGTGACGTAACGCGCAGCGTGGAGAGCGTTGAGAACGCCGCCGCCGTTGTCGTCGTCGTCGTCGTCGTCGTTTTCGTCGTCGTTGTCGTTGTCGTTGTGTCCTCCTCGTCCTAACTCGTTCGTTCTCTCTCTATCGTCATCCACGTAGTTCGTCAAACATCGTTTTACTTATTCCTCGTCTCGCGAAACAAAAATACGCCGCCGTTGTTATTTCTTTATACGTGAACACATAATATTAAACAACATTATTATTCGCCGTAATTACGTTTTATTATACACGTTACTTCTTTAACCAGTTGTTGTTTTCTATTTCCCTCTTCATTTATTTTTTTTCCACTTTATCTCATTTTGGTCTTACAATCAACCAACCAACCAACACGCGAAACTTGAACAAAACGTGTGTGGGGGAGTCTTTTGTTTTATTATTATTATTATTATAGTATCGTCAAGATTTCGTATTGGTGTTACGTTTACTTTCTTCAGTGTATCTCTCTTTCTCTCTCACTCTCTTTCACTCTCTCTCTCTCTCCGTCATATGAGAAAGAAAGAAAAAATAGTAAAGAAAGAGATTAAAGGAAAAGAAGAAGAAGAAGAAGAATAAGGAAAAGAAGTGTCTTTTTTTTGGATATAATCGTGAGAATAATTTTGGTGACACGCGCGCGCCTTCGAGGCGCGTAAGAAACCGCGTGCGCTAACATAAACCTTGACGTTTAACGAATGAGAAGAGTGATATAAGGAAGAAAATATATAAAAATACGAGAAAAAAGTTGATAAGTTGTGTTTCTCGTTCGGAAGAAAATGTTACTATCTTGAATTCTAGATCACGTGTAAACGAAAAAAATCGAATAAAGAATTAATGAAATAGAAAGAAAGAGAGTAAAACAGAGAAAGAAACTTTTGATGCGTGACATTTTTCTTCGTGTTTATTCGAGTGATTCAAAGCGGTGGGGGGAACATTTCGAAAAAGACGATATCACTTCGAAAAGAGGAAGAAATAACAAGGACAGCCGGCGCGGCGTCGTCGCCAAACGCAAATGTCAAAAGCTGGTGAAATCAAGAAGAAGAACAGCAGCAGTGTTACGAAGAGAAGAAGCAAAGTAATGTTGCGAGGAAATTGTTCGATCATCGCGATTCCCATCGAGTCGCGATAAAACGAAACGAACGGTTGCATGGAAGAAGGGGGGATAATATGCAGTGATGAATGATCGTTTATCGCGTATCTATCACGAAACGCCATAAAACAACGTTACGTTTGGCCCCAAGAAAACCGGGAAAACAAGCGTAAAATAACAACCGGGGGAATTGTGTAATGTGTTTATTATAAAAAAAAAAAAAAATAAGCGACATTATTTTCTCATCGAGATAAATATAGAGAGTAATCAGAAAAATATAAAAGACAAATATAAGTCTCAGCGTTGTCAAACAAAGAATATTAGAAGAAATAACTTTTTCGGAGATTTGCTTCTTCGTTTACCGATCTTCCAAGATCGAAGAAGCATCTCTGTGTCGGTGTCACGTGACGCTCGATCGTCGAGGATCGTCGCGACGAGAGGCGCGACGCACCGATCACGAAGATGCTGACCATGTCGACCTTGATGATGCCCACCACGATGACGACCATGACGAACCCAGGGCCGATACCAGCGCACAGCGTGCCGCAGAAGATAGAACCGCCTAAGTTGACAGCCGCAGCCACTCTCGCTCACACGACTACGGCGGCCAACAAATCAGGTGCCCATATTTTATAATTTCTCGCTTTTTTCACTAATAATTCAATTATATTATTATTATTATTATCTAATTCGTTTGATGTTTATTACAAAATGTATGGAATCTTTTCCCCCATCTTATTCTTTATTCGATATTTTGGATTTTCTTTTTGAAAATGAATCGTACTCCTCTTAAAGTATTTCTCTAGTTTTTTGTCCTCTTCCATCTTCTCTAATAATTATTTCGCTAATACTTGGATCGTATTCGTTTATGTATTGTAAATACATGTATCTATCGATACTTTCTTCCGAACATTATTTTATCTGATTAATAAGTAAATGATTTTACGTGAAGTATCGTGCTAGTCGTTATTTCGAAGCTCAGAGAGCTCTCTTCTTTGTCAACGCGTTTTCCTCTCAACGGCGGATCACGTTAATGAGATTTAATGCTTCCGCGCACGCGCAAGCGAACGCGGGACGATCGTCCGTAAAAGGAAATAATTGATAAAGTCGTTAAAAGCTACACGATACGATCCTTTATCCGGGAAACGATACGATCGAAGTTTACATCGAGCTCGGAACAATTGCGGAGGTCTGACGTCGAGAGGAAAAGAGGAAAACGATGAAGGAGGATAAAAGGGAGAGAAAGAGAGAGAGAGGAAGGGAGTAAGAGGGAGGGAAGAAGGGAGGGAGAAAGGGACAACGACAATACGAAGAGGATGAGGTAGAGGACGGTTTTATTCGAGGATAAATTCCACCTCTCGTAAATGTCCTCATCGCTCCGAATACGTTCGAACTCTTTTTCCTCCGCGAGTGTCGCACCAAAAATCGTCGACTTTAGCGATTTTTATTCCTTTTTATTTCATACATACTATTCCGATACTTTTACCCGCGAAACTACCGCAATTCTGTGTTCCAATTTCAGCGACCATAAAAGAAGTGCTAACTTCTTGTAGGATGCGAGAGACTGGAACGACGGCGTGGAGGAAGGAAGGAAGGAAAAAAGAATGTAAAGAGAAAAAGAGAAAGAAATATATAGGGACGGTGAGGGTGTAGAAACGTAGCAAGGCCGGCTGATCTGTATGTGACCCGCATAGAAATTCGAATGGACCCCCCCGTCTATTCGAATTTCTTTCTTTCTCTTTCTTTCTCTCTCTCTCTCTTTTGCTATATTCTTCCTTCTCTTTCTAAGATTCATACGGGAAATATTGACGTCGTAGTCGAAGAAATTAATTATTCTGCGTGCACGCTGCTCTCACCGTCGATTAGCGCGTAATGGCACTTCTTGCTTCGTGCTAAATTACGAATTAAAAAGTCTCGTCGAAAAGGATCGCCTTTCTATTCTCCGGGTCTATCCTCGAAAAACGTGAGTGAGATAGGAAAAGGAAATAAAGGACAAAAAAACTGAAAAAAGAAGTGAGAATTCTACCATCTCGACTACATCTTCTTACACGTAAAAGTGAACCTTGGCGTCGATCTCGAGAACTCGAAGAGGAAAGAACAAGGACGTGGATCAAGAAGAAATGAAAAGAAATGAAAAGAAATGAAATGAAAAGAAAAGAAAAGAAAAGAAAAGAAAAGAAAAGGAAATAGAAGAAGAAGAAGAAGAAGAAGAAGAAGAAGAAGAAGAAGAAGAAGAAGAATAAAATAAGAAACGGAAAGGCGGTGCCTCAGAGATTGAAGAAGTTGAAGGAAAAAAAAAAAAAAAAGAAGAAAAAAAGTTATAATCATAGACACGAGGAAAAGACATCGTTAATGGTAGAAACAAGGTTGGCAGAGATCCAGGGTGATTTTTAGTCGCGCTAAGCGCCACTCTCGTCGCTACTTTCTCGCACCATCAAAAAAAGGGAAAAGAAAAAAAGAAAAAAAAAAAGAAAAAGAAACCTTTTCCCACCCTTTCTATACGTTCCTCTATTTCGTTTTCTTTTCTTCGAATCGAAAGATGATAGAAAACTTCTCTTTACTCAAAAGAAAGATACAAGAATAGAAAGTATCGTATATTATAGCGAATCGTATATCGTGCCGTCAGAGCCGAGATAAGTGGATTCCATTGAGTTCTCGATTATAAGTACTTACATATATCCATCGGTAAGCCTTCGATAGTAAGTGAAGCCTAGTAATGTTTAGTAGCTCGTAAAGAAAAGTCAGAAATTGAGTGAGATAGGACAATACAACAGATGGTGTAGTAACGTAAGGTATTGCCATTATTTCAACCCCCTTGACTAACAATAAGACTATCATATATATATAACCTATGTTAATGTCGCGTTTATCTACGTACATATGTGCGATCCATAAGACAGAGCAATACGTAGAGAGAATGACTAAGTAAGAAAGATAGAAATAGATAGATAGACAGATAAAGAGAAAGATAAAGAGAGAGCCACTGCCAATAGGGCAATCCCTGGCCGCGCACACTTAGCACGTACTAACTATAGTTACCGTTACATCGTAGGTACTACGTGTCGTGAGAGCGTAACAAGGGCGCAAGTCCCGGCACCGTGCCACTTTGCCACGTATACTACCTGCGTGGTATGCACGTTAGCCTACGTGGGCGAGAGTGGATGCATGGAATTTATCGAAGACCACCGCCGGCCGTCACGGCATTTGCCCTAACTCTCTCTCTCTCTCCCCTACCCTTACTAGTACTCCTTACCACCACCATCTACCCTCACGATTACTCCTATCTACCCTGGGATCAATTCGACTAATTGCTTACGGATAAAAGCACTCTCGCGCCTTACAAGTAATCGAAGTATCTCTTTCCTATCTATTTTCTTCCTTATATTTCTTTTTACTCAATCGCTTGATAAAAGTATAGGCACAGGCAATATCTTTATCGTTCATCCATCGTTGTCGTTGTCGTTGTCGTTGTCATTGTCGTTGCCCTTGTCGTTTCGCTCTCATTCTCGTAGACTATCCCAGCGTTGTTTCGAGAAAAAGAGGGTATGTACAGAAAGAGAAAGAAAAAAAGAGAGAGAGAGAGAGAGACAGAGAGAAAGATAAATGACATTTTCCCGAGGAAACGTTATCTCTGAATTAAGAGGAGTGTGCTACCCCGGTTGGGATATCGTCTCTCGAGTGTCTCTTAGCCAGTGCGCAAGAAAATTGTCCCATCGACGAATACGAGGAGGCAAGTGGTCCCGAATAAAAAGTCAATTTTCGCATAAAATGCCATTGGTCTAGAATACTTAAATAATCTGGGTCAATAAATAAGGAGTATCATACGAAAAAAAGAAAAAAAAACACAAGACAAAAATAAACAAATAAATGAACGCTTAAATATAGAGGGGAAGAGATTTTTCTCAATAATATAAATTATTATTATTATATTAAGAGATTTCGGAGATTAAGTCGTAGATTCTTAGATAAATTGTCAAAGAGAGATTGGAAAAATCACGACAAAAATCGACACGTTCGATCGATAATTTGAGCTTTGGATGGAAAGGCAAGCAAAGTTTCTTTCGCATACCTCGAATGGACAAAGTTAAACGAGTGTAACGAATTGAATGTGAAAGACAGCAATCTTAAGATACTCGACTTGTTCTTTTTTCAACTTGTAACAGATTTTCTCTCTCTTTCTCTTTCTCTCTCTCTATCTATCTCTTTATCTCTCTCTTTTTCACATATGCGTATACGTACTCACCCATACAAGAATCCAATTGATTTTTCCGAACCCTCTCGAAGTGAATGCAGACCCCCCTCTTCACCCCCTCGCCCCTGTTACCACCTCTCTTCCTTCTCGTCTATGGATCCTCTAATATATAGATCTGACGCAGCTATAGGGTAAGTGCTCGTAAAGTTGTTTGTCTCCTCGATATACTGTAATAGCGAGGAGGCCGCCATTAGTGGACGAAATTCGTTTAAACGCAATTCGAGAACATCGTAATCCGCAAATTGAATCGAGAGAGGGAACTCTAGCCTTTTTAACGTCGTCTACCAGCACTAGCGTCAGCGTATGCAAACTTATGAGATAGGAGGAGGAGGAGGAGGAACAACATGGAGAGAGAAACGTGGTGGGGTGGGGGGAAAAACCGGAGGAAAGAGATCGGCCCTCTGGCGTTAACATTTTTCGTTGTTACTCCTTAATGCCGTTGTCTCCTTTTTCTCCGTTAATGTCGGAATACAAGCAGCAACGCATTAAACGAGAACCATAGAACAACAACGCATTAAAGAAGGGCCTGTGGTAGAGTATCGAAAGAGGGAATAATATTTCGAGCTTTTATCGGATTCTCGTTTTTTGATAGATCAAATTCAAATTTTGCAAACAGTGTACGTCCGTTATTTCATTTTATTTTCTCTCGACATTGTAAAACATTATTTTCACGCTTTAACATCGTTCTTTTGAAATGCGAGATACGTGTACACATACAACATTTCGTTTGACGAACGAGAAGTATTATATATATATTATAATATACACATATATACATATAATTCTAATAATAATATAATATATTCAAATTATAATTTATCTCACATTTTATTTTGAGCAAATCAAAAAGAGAACCGTATACTAATAAAATATACTTTTCCTCAATTACGGTTAAATGGAAAGAGAATAAAGATGAGAAGAAATATAAGGAAGCGGAAGAATAAGAAAAAAAAAAAAAGTGAAATAGGAATAGAAGAAAGAAGAACGAAGGCGCGAACGATGGATGGCTTTAGCTTCGGTTTCCTGACGAGGTTACCAAAGTTTCGTCCACAGATTCAATTTTAGTTGGCGCACCAGGCCGCGCCACGACCATTGCAGAGCCGCTCAATGCCACGTAGTAACCACCTCACAGGGGTGGTTACTAACCCTCTTTCTATATTCACCCATCCTTCCACGAAACCTCTACCTCCGGCGTCATATCCTCCTCCTCCTCTTCCTCCTCCTCCTCCTAACTCGCTCGCTCGTTCTTTCCAAGTCCCCACTCTCTTCTAACGACCTTCTACCAACGAAGATTCGAGACCACTTCATTCAACCATTCGCAACTTTCCATCCTTTTCTATGGCTTTCTCTGGACCCATTTGTTTCAT